CCCCCTTTTCCAGTTGGTGGGAACTTCACCAGACTGCCAGGACTTCTCAAATATGATGGAGAGTGGCCCGGCCACCTCATCCGCCAGTTCCCTCAAGACCCGTGGATGCATCTCATCGGGTCCCATGGACTTGTGCGCCTTCAGGTTCCTTAGATATTCTAGAACCTGATCTTCACAACTGCTTAAGTTTTTTAGTCTTGTTATCATACAAATCAATCAAGCACATATATTAATTTGGTCTGACCACACATTTTCTGTGCTTTAACTATTGATACATTTGAAGAATAATTTTAAAATATAAAAATTCTTCTATGCAAATACTTACCAATAGGAAGCGCAAACACATTAGGGAGGGTTCGCGTACAGTAAAACATCAAATGAAACTGAGTAACAGTGATGAGACAGAAGACTGTTGATGTAGTTGCTCCAAACTGCTTTCTAACTTCTTTTTGCAACTTCCATAACGTGTAGATCACACTAAGCCCCAAGCTTCCTCGGACTATTAGAAAAATCAAAATGGGAAGTAAAAGTAATATCAGATGGATCACTGACAAACCATGTTACATAATGTAATGCAAAGAAGTTATGAAGAATAATACGGAAGATATCACAATATAACCCACTTCAAAGAAAAAAAAAAGCAAAACTTCCCCACTAGTTTATCTGTTTTAATCCACCTTTAACTTGTCTGATACTTTTGCACAAAGGTCAATGCTTCTATGCTCAAGTTAAACAATATTTTCTGAAGCGTACACGGAAGTACACATGGGAGTGTATTCTCTGAAGACACTGGCTTTTTGCAACACTATCTGACATTTGCTGGCACAGACTTTCTCTATGCTGCCAGTTACTCCAAAGAGAGGGTGGAAATGTCATGCAAGTTCTAAGTACCTACAGTTTGCAAAATCTCTCATTAAAGAAAAGCATATCACATTTTAATCATTGATCCAAACACTGAATGTTATAATGTCACCCATTAGTCCAGTAGTAAAAACATCTCTCTTCTGATGATTTAAAGTTTTCATACCTATCAGCTGGGAGTAAAACTTGGACATTCTTAATACAGAAAGTACATATATAGCTGGGCTGGAAAGAGCAGCAATAAAAATTGGTCCCAGGAATGTTCTTGGGACAACTCCGGGAAATTCATGGTGGTCATACTGCAAAAAGGAAAAGCTAAGTAAGATAGGCGAATCAGAAACAAAGGAAAACTGACATAAACCACGGTCACATTGCATTTATCCTACTCATATAGCAGGGAACTGCAATCTTTAACAGTGTCCAAGAAAGAACACCTTCTTTCCAATTTACCTTATCCAGGTCCAGTTGGTGGTACATCACATCATGGATAGCTTGTAGGTTAAAGCTTTCCTCCACTTTTGTAAAAGGACAGACAGTTAAATGAACAAAGGCCACAATAATAATCAGCTGCAGCAACAGGAATGACGGCCCACTCGAGTTCCTCTTCTGAGCCATCTTGGGTTCGAAACTCACATATATTCTATTATTATTAAAAAGACAATTAAAAGAAAATACATTAGTAACATGGCATGAAGTGTACAAACAGAAAAAGAGATATTAATAACACAAGGAAAACATTCTACAGTACTGTAAAAGTTTAAACAAAGGCTACTAAATCAAACAATCCATCCTTTTTTTTTTTTTTTCATACATACATTGGATAAAGTAGATAGCCAAAGACACATTCAGGCAGCACTTCAGGACTTATGGCATCTTCTGTAAATATAAAGGTATTAGTTTTCCCATAAAAACCCTCAAAGATAGACGCTACTTAAGAAAGTATTTCCCTTTACGTTCCATACTGTCACCCCTGCTGAGAGTGCCACCTCAATTATGTCTCCATGTTGTGGGAAAGGCAGCTTTGTAATTTACTCTCACCAGGTTTACACATGATCTTTAGAACATACTCCCTCGTTTGTCTAGGACTCTGAAACTAGTGGGAAAGGAAGCACGAGGATGAGAAATTGCTCAGAATAGAGCACTTTGATCTTCTGCATTTGCCAGCTTGCCAGTGGCTAGGTCTGGACGCGGTGAGCAAAGGAAGAACCCCCTTCGGCACGCACACCACGTGTCATTATGGCGTGAGACGGTCTGAGCCCCATCCTTCGCATTACTACCCAGAAACAAAGGCTGCCTCTCCCAACTGCTCGGTTTCACAACAGCCATTCTTAGGGTAGTATTTATGATGTATTTTATTGTGATGATAAAATCATGTGTCCAGATGATGCCTAGGAAGCATAGGTACTGTCATGAGTAAACAGTTCATCTTTTCTGGTTTCAGATTATAAACCAGTATTAAAAAAGAAATTTCTTTTCCATGACCATTTCCAGCAAAAACAAGGTACTCTCATGTTCTTTAAATATAAGCTTCCCACTTTTTCTAAGTTTACAATTTCATAAAAAAGACGTTTTGCTTATTGTTATTCTCATTCTGTTCTCACAGAAACAAAACTTTAAAAATAGCACTTTTAAGGTACAACCAGGATTTTGGCTAGAGATGTTTTCTCCCGTGTTTTAGTCTAAATATGTCCATGAAACAGATGTAAGGTAGTTGGCAGATTTGCTAGGATCACTTAGCAACTGCTGCCCAGAGTTACCTTTTCCTGAATTGATGTTTGTCCTCCTCATTAGTAAAAATGAAGTGAGCTAATGTTTCCTTATTGTCACAGCTAACACAAATAAACCCCAAGATTTATGTACCTCTGTAAATCGCATGTATCTGCACATTAGTTTATGTATCTCACTGACAGCACCTCTTTTTCTCATGATTGCTGCTGTTACAGGCTGTAACTGGAGCTCTATCCTGAGCTCAGAGTTTTGTGGGAAGTCCTTTGGCTTGTTTTGCAAGGTTAAGATCCTAAATAAAGACAACATCCCAGGAAGCACAAAGAAGTCTTTTTAACCTGTGCCTTGCATTACTTCTTTACGAGGACGGATAAAAACAGGTGATGCTACGACAGAATCCTTTTTCCACAGCAGTAGTAAAACAGGTATGGGACTGCCATCAGGAGCGCTTCAAGAAGCGTTTGGCAGGAACTGCACAGGGCAGTTTATCTGGTACAAATTCATGACCAGAAAGCTCTCTTGCTGAATTCTTCCAATAAATACAGAGGCATCCCACGTTTCTGGCCAAACTTCCCCGAGAGAAAAACGGACACTGAAGGACCAATCCACTGCTGCAAACAGCGACACAGGCATTTGGGCAGCTTGTGCGGTATGTGGAGCAGCATGTAATACGCCAGCAAGGCAGGTATGCCTCATTCCCAATTCACAGCTTCTTAACATTTCTGGTATTTTAGGACCCAATGAATCCTTGTAAAAGGACCCAAGTGTCAAGAAGCTCTTTTTTTTCCTTCTTAACTATATCAGTTGTATAATGAAAAGATGTTAACCTTCACCTATAAATATCACATTCATTATACTGTGATCACTCTACAGTATTGGCTGCTCCTGATATATTTAGCTGATCACCAGATAAACAATCAATCCCCAACTTCCTAAATCATCAGAATGACAGTGAAGCTAAATATCCCATACACAGTTTATCACTAGGCTTTTTTATCTTGTTGACTCCAATCCTTTTGTATGCCTGAAGAAATTAAGCTTGCCAGCATACTCATAGATTTTCAAGATAATCATATGTATTATACATACTGAAATTCCCTGAAGGGAAACACTCTAGAAGATAAAAAAAAAACAAAGCATGAAGACAACACCTAGGTTTCTGAGATAAAGCCTAATAAATTTAGTGGTCTTGTCAAGACTCAAGATAACAAGCTCTGTCAAAAAATGATGCTGACAAATGTCAGAATTCAAGTGGGATTTATCAAGACAGGTAGACACCGAATTTCATGTTTAAAATAAATGTGCTATATAAAGGCAAAATGCTTGCAACTGCAACTTTTATTTTTAAATTCCAAAAACACAGAAACAGATTTTCACTTCATAAATTTTTTTTAATAACGAAGGTTAGAGGAGTATCATAAGCAAATACAAATAGTTTCATCATTAACATTCTCATGACTTCAGAAGAGTTGTCCTCAGACTTGTACTCTTCTAGACCCCTAGAAGTCTGCATCAAGACTGAATTATAGAAGAGCGGAGATTTTCAACACGAGGAATTCACCTTTCCTGGGATTAAACTGGGTGAAAATAAAGTGTTTTCTCACATTAAAAAAAGGCTGAAATACTTTTACCAGAAGTGATTTATTCTTTTTCTACACTTTTTCTGTGGAGGTGTCAGTTCCAAGATTTTTTTCTTCCCCTGAAAAATCTACCACATTTGGCTCATGTTTTACAGACATTCTTCAGTATAAACATATTAGAGTTTGGCAGGCAAACTGCATGTTGAATCTGTCTACAGAGACCACATTTCACCCCCTCACATGCTCTGTACTGAAACATGTAAGCAGAACCACACCGAGAGCATCTCACCCTAAGATCCTCCTTCTCTGAGCTGATCTAGATTTGGTAAAACCTATGTTGTATTAACTTCAATTTTCATGTTTTTTTCCTATGCTTTAGTAGCTCTTCCAATTTTGCTCTAAAGCTAACTTCTGAACGAGGTCAGATTTAAACCTTGTACTTGCTGGTATTGCTTTTTCTTCTTTTCTAAGAAGGAACGTGACAGTTGCTATCCTTATACACATTTCCTCATGAGTTTGGGGACGGGCTAAAAAAAAACAACCCCAAGAAATTAAGACAAAAAGGAGAGGAGAAAGTTGAGGCAGGAAAAAAAGCCTGACACACCACCAGCTATGACGGTATTACGAAGCTATGTAGAAAATGTCACTCTTCGGA